CAGCCCATGGGGGTAATTTCCCAACTCCAAATTTACACATAAATGATCTTCAGAGGCAGAAGGATCTGAGTTCAAGGCCAACCTGAGCAGGCCTTGACCCCTGTCTTCAGTCACCAAGGGCTGGAGACCCAGACCAACGGTAGAGCGTTTGCCCAGTACTTACAGTCCCATCCACAGAGAGGGAAGATGGGGCCAAGGGAGAGCAGACCTCGGAGAAGGTAGAACATGGCCAGGTGGCAGAGTAAGCAGAGAAGCTGGGGCGGTCACCTGAACTCGGAACCCAGGCCACTCTAACCCACTCCACTCCCACTGCCAGGAGCCTTGGGTTCTCCCGTTCCTAAGCCTCTTCACACTGGGGACGGGGAACGAAACCAGGCCTGCTCCAGTCTCAGGCCCTGGCACTTGCCTCCTCCGCTGCGGTCACTTGGAAGGCTCCCTGGGGCCCTAGGCTGGGCCGCTCCCAGGTGGCCCCCTGCAGTGGCTTCTCTAAGTGCTTGGATCTGAGCTGCTGTCTCCCGCTCACCCAGGTATTCACCCAGCAGGAAGAAAGCTAACAGCTATGACTGGTGTACGGACCACCATCACGCGCTGGAAGCCTCCCCGACGACACTCAGTGATGGATGGTGGAGGTGGGGGGGGGGCATACTGACCCCGGGACCTTTGTAGCTCATGTCTGATACCCGAGGGGCCTCACAGCCAGGCAGCCCTCAGGCAGCAGACTAGGTTATTCACTCACCATCGTCCTCCAAGAGTGTGTGGTCCAGCTCCAGGTCATAGAGGCGAAGGCTGGGCCGGGCAGAGGGGGCCACATTGCCCAGCAGGGGCCGGCTGCTCCTGTGCCGGAGCCTCACCGTGCGGTTGTAGTACTGGGAGATGATGGCCCCACGGCTGCGGCCTTGGAAAACAAGGGCAGGGGAGGAGAAGGCAGGCACAGGTCTGGCCGGACGTCCCTCTGGACAGATCTCAGCACCAGGCCTCCCGTCCCTTAGCCCTCCCCAGGGCTGGGGAAAGACCTTTGCCAGAAACCCAGGAGCTTCTGTTTATCTGGTTGGTTGGTTGGTTTATTTGGGACAGGGTTTCTCTGTGTAGCCCTGGCTCTGTAAGTCCTGGAACTCTGTAGCCCAGGCTGGCTTTGAACTCAGGGATCCACCTGCCCCTGCCTCCCGAGTGCTGGGATTAAAGGCGTGGGCCACCAAGAGCCTATCCCCCCCCACACACACACACACCGGGACCGAACCCAGGGCCTTTCGCTTGCTAGGCAAACGCTCTACCACCGAGCTAAATCCCCAACCCCCAAGAGTCTATTTTTAAGCCTATGACAAATGCTGTCATGTTTAGAATCCAGCAAGGGTGAGTGCCGGGCCTCAGGCCCCAGCAACAGGAAGGCTGGGAGCCCAGAGGAGACAACTCTAGGTTGACACCTAGGCTGAGGTCAAAGTCCAAACAAGGGCAGAGGGTCCCACTCACCAATGGTGCGACTAGGCATGCTGGCCAAGATGCGGAGAGTGGCCATGCTGTGGGCGGGGGCACCTTCAGGCCTTGGGAGGGTCTGGTAACCTCTGCCTAGGAAGGATGGAGACACAGCAGCTCTCTCACCCAGCCCGCCCCACCCACCCCAGGCCTGTAACATGCAAGGGCAGAGATAGTCCCAGGTCCTGCCCACACCGGGTCGGAGCGCAGGCCTGAGCTCACCTGGAGCCAGGGGCAGCAGCTCCAGCCCCTCCTCGGCCGCCACCCGAAGACTCTGCTCTTGAATGAGCTGGTGGAAGGAGTCATGGACTTCGCTCTCTTCATAGGGACTGGGCTCCCGGCTGCTAGGGAGGAACCAGTGTGGGAATCCACGCTCCAGCCCTCTCCCACTTCCAGAAGGCTTCACATCAGACAGGGCGATACATCCCAGACCACCAGCACCAGGGTACTTACTCTTCGTCCCCTGTGGTCTCTGGGACATCGAGGACTAAAGTCAGTGGCTGAGCCATGGCTGTGGTACACCCTCAGCCGGCCTGCAGACCTAAGAGAGCTCAGAGACTAGACCCGCAGCCAATGGGACCCCCACACCATCTGTTGAGATAAAACCATCTTTCAGTCCCTGGCACCCCCTCCCTGGGGGCCCATACTTAAGGCACAAACACACTACAGGAATCCCCAGCCTGCCCCCCATCCACAGCTAAACAAATAATTAATGAGTGGCCCCAAATAACATTCTCGCCCGCCCGTAACGGGCTGTGGGGGAGGAAAGAAAACAGGAAGGAAGCGTGAGGCCACAGTTCCCCACTGGTTTCCTAGATGTCACTGGTCCCAGGAAAATGGGAGAGGTCCGTTCTCAGGCCTGGCCCTAGGGCTTCAACTCTCCTAGAGAAGAGGAAGGGGCCGGGAGGCGCAGAGAACTTCCCGCGCCCGCCCCATGACCCCAAAGTGCTTTCTCTCGCAGGAAGTGCTGCCCGGCAGCCAGCCGCAGAGCCCTGCCCCCAGCACCGCCCAGGCAGCCTCCACTCCACACACAGGACTCCTTGAAACCCACCCCCAACGCCCGGGTCCGGGTGTTCCAAAGTTCTCGTGTCCCCGGGAGACTGACTCCCTACATTCCCAACGCAGCTTAAAGCTGGAGGAGGAAGCTGAGCCGACACAAGCTCCCTTTGTCCAGCTCGGTCACCCCGCACAATAGCAGCCAAAGCATTGTAAGGGGCTTATTGTCCTCCTGGCCTAAGGCCCTAAGGGAGGGCGCGGCGGAATGAGCAGCCAATCACCTGACTCCTGCAGCAGTGCCCCCCAGAAGGCAGGCCCAGCCCTGTCCTCAAATCCTGCCAGTCTTCACCTAGAGAACTCGCAGTTTTCGGGGAGCTCTCCCGACGGCCGAGAGTTCCCACGTAACCCCGATTCGCTCCAGACACGCCCCCGCCTGCGCCTCCCTGGAGCTCAGCAGGGAGGGGCACAGCCGGAGGTGGCACCGCCCGAATGGAAAGCAGCCAGGCGAGGTGGTGCCCACTTAGTTTCAGGGTCCCCTCCCTGGCCACAGTACTTCTCAGGCTCAAGGCCTCAGGCTGCCGCACACCTCTTCTCCATAAGCTGCTGGGAGTGCGCTGAGGCTCCGCCCGGGACTCCGGATCTGCTTGGGCCCCGGGTCTTCAGTCCCGCCTGGGGCGGGCCAGGTGTGCGCAGTTCCGGGACGCACCATCCTGCGCCCCGAGCCAGACGGAGAGAGGCCCGCAGCGGCAGTTCCCAGGAACCCGCACCCAAGGGGTCAGCCCCCCGGCGGGAGCAGCCGCCCCCACAGCCGAGCTGCGACCCTGCACCCGGGTCCAGGCGCCTAGCTGGAGGGGAGGAGCCCCGCTCCCCGAAGTGGCTCACCTGTGCGCGTACCCGCGCCGGGGAACCGCAGTTTCAGCTCCACCAGCAGAAGAGTCATTAACAGACTGTCATTAAGGGTCCGGGGGCAATGTTTGACGGTTCCCAGACTGGCAGCTGGAGGTAGCCCCACCACCCGTCCACATGGCAGCGGGCCCGGAAGGTCACATGACCTCCTCCCGCCCGCGAGTAGGCCCCGCCCATCCAAAACAGTGCCCTGTGCCCGCCAGCTTCGGACTCCACCCCAGCGCTCCACCCTGAATTCTGAGCAAAGTGGGCGCGGCCGAGTATTTGGATATAGACAACTCCTAGGTGGAGTCCCTAATTTTTGTAGGACTCAGTTTCCCCAAGTTTCTAAACGGGACGGTATTTCCAAGCCCACTCACGTCCCGGGGTTACTTACCAGTCCCCAGCCTCTCCACAGGGATTGGGCAACCCCCTCCTCCCAGCCTCGGTTCACTGCTCCCCATCTCCGGCTAAGGAATGGGGTTACCGCCTCCTCTGCTCTGGTGTGGTGTCTATTTCTGAAGCCAGAGTTCAAGCCGCTTCCGGTACCCACTGTCCCAAATGTGCCACTTGCCTAGTTTTCTGTGACCGAGACCTAGGCAATGACCTTTCTATTTCACAGATGAGGACATTAAGGCTGAGAAAGTTTCACCAGCCTCCGCGTGTCACCAGCTGGAGCAGGGGACTTGGCCACCAGAGTGCCCCATGGAGCCCCTTCCCCCATGTGACAGGCAGGGTGACCATGAGAAGGAAGTAAAAGGGAACACCAATCCCCGCCCCCACACAAGACAACAGACGCCAGAAAGCGTGTGGGGTACAGTGATGTGGTGAAGCCTGAGGTAATAGGGTCCGGCTGAGCTGGGGCAGTGGAGAGGGCAGTGACAGATTCCTCACCACTGTCCCTGTGTGGCTGACCCGGCTCTCCTCGGCTCCCCCTTGCACTTGCACTGAAATTTGCATGACTTCTGGCCCAACTTAAAAGTCATTTCCTAGGGAGCCTTCCTGCATGAACTTGAAATACAGAGCCACTGGGCAGGGACGCAGGGAGCCTCAGGGAATCCAGAGCTGAGCTGACAAGGCCTTGAAAGAGGAGAACACGGAGGAAGGGCCAGGGCTCCCGGTACTGGGAACTGGCCAAGATGACTGCTAAAAGTCTGGTCGGTGTCGGTGCACCGAGTCGCTTCCTAAGCACTTAGGCTGGGCTTGGCGCCAGGACATGCAGGAGGGCAGTGCCTGGGATGAAAGCGGGAAGTTCAGAAATAAGGCACCAGGCAGGAGTGATAGGACAGGCCTTTAATTAACCCCAGACTTGGGCAGATATCTCTGTGAGTTCAAGGCCAGCCTGGTCACATAGTGAATTCCAGGACAGCCAGAGCTACACAGTGAAATAACAAAAAAGGAAAGAAATAACGCCAGCGTCCTGGAGAGCCAGCGGCTGGGTGTTCTGGAACCTCCACGTCTCACTATCACGCTCTCTGGGGCGACTGCGGAGGGCAGATAACGGGTCCCTCTGCTCGGCGGGCGGGAAGGGGGCTGGCAGGGGCGGGAGGGTGCAGAGGGAGGCCGGGTGCGTGCCCACCACGCCCCTCACCTGTGTCCTCCCCCTCTGATGCAGGAAGTGCACGCTGATGCAGAGGAAACTACGAGGAAGGAAGGCGGGAGTGGGTGGAGGGGAGGAGACGCTGCTTCCCTGCCAAAGGGGGGTTCCTGTCACGTGACCCCACCCCACTCCCTCACTGCCCTGTCTGGTGGGTCCGGAGCTGATCCCCCGAGGGAGCTTCTTGGGGAGCTCGGTCCCTTGCCGCTTTGTGAGCTGCCTGCTGTGCGGAGAGGACGGTGAGGGGAAAGAATTGAGGCCCAGGTCTGTAGCTTCCTCTGGGGTGACTTGGGGGTTCCTCCTTTTCTCACGGTTGGGGAGGTAGCCACGCCTCCCTTTCTGGGTCCCTTAAGACCAGAGCAGACCCAGAAAGAACACACAGACCAGGGGCCCTAGCACATCCAAAGCTGGGGTGTTGCAGAAAGCGGGATTCTAGGAGCTATCGGGGTTCAGGACAGGGGTGACTGCCCAGAAAGCCAATGCGCACATGGAAAAGAGTGGGGATTGTGCTTTTCCAAAGCTTAAGGTTTGTGACAGCCAATCTTCGCTTTGCCGGTGGCTCTCTCTCTCTCTCTCTCTCTCTCTCTCTCTCTCTCTCTCTCTCTCTCTCTCTCTCTCTCCCCCCCCCCATGTCCTCGGGGCCTTTTTCCTCATTTGACAGGCTGGGAGACCTAGGCCTGGGTCGGAGGTGGAGTGGGACAGCCCCGGCTCCGACCGCAGCAGACTTCTTTTCACTTGTGGACATGGCAGGGCCAAGGCGAAGCTCATCACCCGGCGCCCGCCGTTCCTCCTGAAAGCCAGGCTGGTGCTTGTGTGTCCCGCGCGCCCCCTGGCATGTTTCGCCAGTGGTCGGTGCAGTCGGGACCGGCCCCCCGACGGCCTGACTCCCAGGCGGCCGCGGAGGAGCTGTGGGAGGAAGAAGTGGAGCGGCTGTGCGCCTCCCGGGCGCCGGTACGGATGCTGCCCTACGCCATGGCAGACAAGCGCTTCATCCGGTAGGTGCGGCTGGCTCGGCCGCACTGGAGGAGCCGCGGTGGGGGCGGGAGAGCGCGCCCGAGGATCGTACCTGTCGGATGGATGACTCGGGTGTCCCCGTCGCCACGGTCCCACAGGAATCTGCGGGAGCCCGAGGGGGTGAAGACCTCCTGCTGGCAGCGGTGGCGTCGCCGAGGGCAGGTGGCCCGACAGCATCTGAGGGAGGCAGCGCAGAGGCTGGCCCACGGCTTCGGGCTCTGGGAGGAAGCGCTCTACGAGATTGGGGGTAGGATCCCACGCCCGCCCTCCCTTCCCACCTCCCTGGTCAGCCCCTCCATCCATCCTTGTGCACCCCTTGGATTCCTCCCATGCACACGTTGGTGGGAGACAGCCCTCCGAGGGCTATTGGAGATACTGCACGTCAAGTCCCAATATTGCCGTGGGCTGGTCCCCACTCACACGTACCACACAGCCCGGTGATTCTCAGCGTTGGCTATCTCTAAATCAAATAGGAGGAATGTAATTGCTACAAGGAAAAATGGTCTAGAAAATGGAAGACGGCTGGGCTCCCTGCTTTTCTCCCACAGGCCTCTTCGGGACGGGCATCCAGTCCTACTTCACGTTCCTCCGCTTCCTGCTGCTGCTCAACCTGCTGACGTTACTGATGACCGGAAGCTTTGTCCTGCTGCCGCTGGTCTGGCTCCACCACCCTGAGCCAGGCCCTGCCCTGAAACTGAGTGAGTGCTGGGATTGCCCTGACCCTGTGGACCTCAGCCTGGGCACGCTGCATGGGCTAGCCTTGGTCTCTGCTTGATGGTACCTTCTGCACAGACAGCCTCGGTGTTAGGGTAGATGCAATGGAGTTGGAAGGTTGAGTGTCACCTGTGTGTGTCTTGTCCGTCCTCTCTTCCTGCTCAGCAGGCCTCCAGTGCCCCGGCAGCCACCAGCCCCAGAGTGGCATTCCAAGGTTCCACAACCCACTTTGGAATATTCTAACTGGCAGGGTAAGTGGATCTCTCCTGGCTATGTGGCTATGCTCTGGGGCATCTGGGAGACTCTAGTCTGAAGGACCCCTGCTCCTCAAGAGACATTTTGGCTTTTAAGGGAGAGTCTTACACAGACCAGCCAGGCCAGATATAGAGACTTAGGGAGATGTGCCCGTGAGCCATAGAACCCAGCCTGGAGCAAGAGACAAATGAAGAAAGTGTCCAGACCTCTAAGATAAACACACACACACACACACACACACACACACACACACACACACACACACCAATTCCTAGAGGCCACTGAGCCAGTATCTTAAGTCCTGGACCCAAACCTGTATGACATTGGGTAAGTCACCTAGCTTCTTCCAGTGTCTGTAAAACAGGGGTATCTTGGGCCGGGCACAGGGGTGCGTTCCTGCAAGCACAGTTCTCAGGAGGCGGAGGCAGGAGGGTCACAAGTCCAAGGCCAGCCTGGGGCACATAAGAAGGTCCTGTTCTTCCTTGCAGAATAAGCACTTAGAACAGGCCCAGCATGCCACCTGCATTCACACATGCTCACTGTGTCCCCAGGCCTTCAACAACACCTATCTCTTCTACGGTGCCTACCGGGCAGGGCCGGAGCACAGCTCAGGGTACAGCATCCGCCTGGCCTACCTCCTCAGCCCAATGGCTTGCCTGCTCCTCTGCTTCTGCGGGACATTGCAGCGGTGAGCGAAGACCCCCAAGTCGCCTACAGGCCTCCATCCTTGGCCATCCTTCATCAGCTGGCAGATAGATCCCTGCGCAATGAGGCTCACCCTGGCCCCCAGCCTGCCTCCTATACAGTGAGGCTGGTACCCAGGAACAGGGGTCTCTGCCCCAACTTTCTGAGGCCAGAATCCCAGCCAAGCCACTGCCAAGGGTGGAGAGTGGAGGAACCCCCACAGCAATCCTTCCTTCCCCCAGGATGGTAGAGGGGCTCCCACGGCAGCCACTCCTGGGCCAGGGCTACAGGGCGCCCCTCAGCGCCAAAGTCTTCTCGTCCTGGGACTTCTGCATCCGGGTGTGGGAAGCCGCCACCATCAAGAAGCATGAAATCAGCAATGAACTGAAGGTGTGTGAGGGGCAGAGTGTGTGTGTGTGTGTGTGTGTGTGTGTGTGTGTGTGTGTGTGTATGTGTGTGTGTCGTGATGAAAGTGGTATGTGAGGGGCTGGGTGAGTGTGAATGGGAGTGACCAGATGACAGTACGAACCAGCTGTGATTGTGAACACGCAAATGTTATAAGAATGTGTGACAGGCGTAGTGGGCGAGCGTCTTTAATCCCAGCACTTGGGAGGTGGAGGCAGGTGGATCACTGTGAGTTCAAGGCCAGCCTGAACTACAGAGCAAGCTCCAGGTCAGCCAGGATACATAGTGAGACCATGTCACAAAATAAATAAATATGGAAATGTGTCTAGGTATGATGTGTGTATCTGTGATCCCAGCATTCAGGAGACTGAGGCAGGGGGATTGCCATGAGTTTGCGACTAGTCTGGGGTACAAATTTGTAAGTGCCAGGCCAGCTAAGATTATGAGACAAGACCCTGTCTCAACAACAAGGGGTTGGCAGGATGGCTGTTCAGGTAAAGGGCTTTGTTGTGACCTGGAGTTTATCTCTGGGTCCCACAAGGTGGGAGAAAGAAACGGTTCCCACAGTTTCTGTTCTGACCTCCACGTGTGCACCATGGCATTCACACACACACACATAGTGTAAAAATAAAATAAAAGGGGGGGGGCTGGAGAGACGGCTCAGAGGTTAAGAGCACTGACTGCTCTTCCTGGGGTCCTGAGTTCAATTCCCAGCAATGATATGGTGGCTCTCAACCATCTGTAATGAGATCTGGTGCCCTCTTCTGGCCTACAGGGATATATGCAGGCAGAACACTGTATACAAAATAAATAAATCTTTAAAAAAAAAAACTACAGCCAGGCGGTGGTGGCACACACCTTTAATCCCAGCACTCGGGAGGCAGAGCCAGGCGGATCTCTGTGAGTTCGAGGCCAGCCTGGTCTACAAAGTGAGTTCCAGGAAAGGTGCGAAGCTACACAAAGAAACCCTGTCTCGAAAAAAACAAAAAAAAACAAAAACAAAAAAAAACTACAAAAGGTAGGTGTGCATGCATGTGTGTTTGTGTGCATGCATGTGTGTGTGTGTGTGTGTGTGTGTGTGTGTGTGTGTGTGTGTGTGTGTGTCTTGGACTAGCTGAGCGAGGGCGTGGCTATGATTAGCGTGGCTAGTGACTGGGTGAGGGTGGATGGATGTGGAATGCTTCAGGACCCCTCCCCTCCTGTCTTCAGGTGGAGCTGGAAGAGGGCCGCCGCCTGGAGCTGGCTCAGCAGCAGACCCGGGCCCAAAAGGCCTGCCGCCTGCTTACCTACCTGCGGACCAATGTCCTCATCGGACTCCTAGTGGCCGGAGCCATCAGCGCCATCTTCTGGGCCACCAAGTACTCACAGGACAACAAGGAGGTGAGGGACAGGGCATGCCTTTCTTTTTCTTTTTCTCTCTCTTTCTTTCTTTCTTTTTTTTTTTTTTTGAGATCTATTTATTTATTATGCTGTTATTGTTTTTTCCCCCGAGACAGGGTTTATCCGTGTAGTTTTAGTGCCTGTCCTGGATCTCACTCTGTAGCCCAGGCTAGCCTCAAACTCACAGAGACCCACCTGGCTCTGCCTCCCAAGTGCTGGGATTAAAGGCATGCATCACTGCCACCCGGCTATTTATTATGTTTTTTAATTAATTATTTTATGTGCATTGGTGTTTGACCTGCATGTGTGTCTGTGTGAGAGTGTCAGATCTCCTGGAACTGGAGTTACACACAGTTGTAAGCTGTCATGTGGGTGCTGGGAATTGAACCCAGGTCCTCTGAAAGAGCAGCCAGTGCTCTTAACTGTTGGACCATCTCTCCAGCACCCCCCCCCCCATGTATTCCTTTATGGTTTGTTTATTTGCTTTTTTGGTGTGAACTGTGAGAAGAGATAGGTGACCCCACTGTGCAGCCGAGAAGACCGAGGCTCAGGCCAGGGCCCCTCTGTGTGAGCTGCATCCTCAGAACCTTGACCCCCTCCTCCCCACAGGAGTCCCTTTTTCTGGTGCTGCAATACCTGCCCCCTGGAGTCATTGCCCTGGTCAACTTCCTGGGTCCCCAACTGTTCACAGTCCTGATCCAGCTGGAGAACTACCCTCCCAGCACCGAGGTCAACCTCACCCTGATCTGGTGAGTATCCAGGGGGTGCATCGTTGTGGTCCCCAAGAGTCCTGAACCGGGAGACTCTCATGTTCACCAGTACACCAAAGCGGAGGTGGGCAGTGCTTCTAGACCATTCAGCCTCGGGTCCCAAATCTGAGGCTTCCCCTGATGGGAGCCATCAACCTGCATGAAGCAGAGGGCCATTTGGAAGGTTAGGGGTGCTGTTTGGCCTCGGGGAGTCAAGAGCCAGCTGTGAACACTTACAAAGCCTGGCGATTTGAGACACAGCTCCTGTGCATTGTGAGGCTGGACACTTTGCCTCGATGGCCCTCACTCACTGCTGAAGTGTCCTGGCCAAGGTCACTCATCCCCATAGCTCTGCCACACGGTCCTGACTCCAGCGCAAGCCCACTCTGAGGGTCCCCCACGAAACCTGTGTGTGCCTCGCCAGCTTCTCTAGCCTCTCTGTCCTCACCTCCGAGTCCTGCCTTCTTTCCCTCCGCTTCCGTCATGGTCAACTCTGATTTGCTTTGACGCACACATGAGAAACAACTCAAACTGTGCCAGGCACAGTGGCATAGTCCTGGCACTTGAGAGGCAGAGGCAGGGGGATCGCAAGCTCAAAGCTAGCCTGGGCTACACAGGAAGAAGCTGTCAAAACCATCCAAGTCAAGGGCTGGCGAGATGGCTCAGTGTGGAAAAGCACATGCCATGCAGCCTGACAACCTGGGCTTGGATCCCCGGAACACATGTAGAAAGCCAGATGTGGTGGCACATGTCTGTAACCAGTTACAGCACACCTGTGTAGATGGGAGAGAGACAAGAGCATCACCTGGAAGCTCTCGGCCCAGCAAACCTGGAGTATACAATGCAGCCCTAGAAAAGAAAGCCAGGCATGGCGGTGCACGCCTTTTATCCCAGCGCTGAGGCAGACACTGCCTGCCTCCACCCGCCTCTGCCTCCGCCACCTCTGCCTCCCAGTGCTGGGATTAAAAGTGTGTGCCGCTTGCACCACTATACCAGGCTTACCTTGTTTTTGTTCATTTGTTTTTTAAAAAGATTTATTTATTTATTTATTTATTTATTTATTTATTTATTTATTTATTTATTTATTTATTTATTATGTATAGTGTTCTGTCTGTGTGTATGCTTGCCCACCAGAAGAGGGCACCAGGTCTCATTATAGATGTTTGTGAGCCACCATGTGGTTGCTGGGAATTGAACTCAGGACCTCTGGAAGAGCTGCCAGTGCTCTTAACCTCTGAGCCACCTCTCCAGCTTGCGCGTGCGTGCACACGCACGCACGCACGCGCACACACACACAGAATCTCACCAGGCATGGTGGTGCACACCTTTAACACCAGCCCTCAGCGGCAGAGGCAGACACATCTCTGTAAGTTTGAGGCTAGCCTGGCCTACGTAGTAAGTTCTGGGCCAGCCCAGAACCACTACTACGTGGTAAATAAAAAAAGGAGGAGCTTCGAAGGTGTCTCCTGATCTGAGACTCTGAGGACCCAGGAAGGCGCAGACTTTCTCTTGCAGGACTCGTCCAAATAAACCTTAGAGCTGGCGGCAGGGAGGATAGGTGGGGGGGGGGAGCGGGGGGGGGGTCCCAAACTGGGTTAGAGACCAGACCATTCGTTCCCATGCACTATGTGGAGTCAGGAGTCAGGCTTGAGGAACACATTTTGAAAATCACTGGAGGGAGATGAAGCAGGCTGGAAGGAGGCAGGGCTGAGCCCACGACACCGGGTCTCAGGCACCAGCCACTCTGTGGCCTGGATGGAGCCCCGACCCCCCTCTGATGCGGCCCCTGCCCTCAGGTGCGTGGTGCTGAAGCTGGCCAGCCTGGGGATGTTCTCCTTCTCGCTGGGTCAGACCGTGCTGTGCGTAGGCAGAAACAAGACCAGCTGCGAGGCTTATGGCTACAACGCCTGCGAATACCAGGTGGCAACCCATCCTTCCCCATGAAGCCCCACCTCAAACTCCAGAGCGGGGTCCCTTTCAGTCCTTTCCCAGGTATCACTTTCGTGAGTAGCTGGAGGCGGAGCTGCCATACCATGGCGTGCCCCCAGGGGGCGCCCCGCACCACACCCCAGATGTGCCGCTATAGCTCTTCTGGTTTGGGAGTCCTCTGCTCTAGTTCTGTCCCCGAGGTCAAGTCTGACTGCAAGCAAGGCTCTGAGACCCACCCCAGCACCAACCCACCTCCAAACCCAGCAAGCAGTGGGTGAGGGGAGAGTCTGGAGGAACCTGGGGATAGTGATGGGTCCCCTTTCTCTGCACCCCAGTGCTGGGAGAACTCGGTGGGTGAAGAGTTATATAAACTAATCATCTTCAACTTCCTGCTCACCGTGGCCTTCGCCTTCCTGGTCAGCCTGCCTCGGAGGTGAGCTACAGGGGGACACCCCAGGGGATGGCTGGAGGCCACTGCCAAGCGTAAGCCAGGTCTGTCCCCATGAGTAAGGGTGTGATGGCCCATAGGGAAGGCCCATGTGGCTCCGCCTGGAGTGTACCCAGATCCCCCACCCCCCTCACCCCAGGCTGTTAGTGGAGCGCTTCTCAGGCCAGTTCTGGACTTGGCTGGACCGGGAGGAGTTCCTGGTGCCAAAGAACGTGCTGGACATCGTGGCCGCGCAGACTGTCACCTGGATGGGTCTCTTCTACTGTCCGCTGCTGCCCCTCCTCAACAGTGCCTTTCTCTTCCTCACCTTCTACATCAAGAAGGTGGGGAGCTTGGGACAGTGCTCGCTCGAGCACTGCATCCTCCTTCCGCCCCCCTCCCCTGGACCTCAGACCCCCTGGTCCACAAAACACCCAGGTAAGTCCTGCTATCTCGACCACCTCCAGTACACCCTCCTGAGGAACTCCAAGGCGTCCCCAAGGCTGTTCCGAGCCTCCAGCTCCACCTTCTTCTTCCAACTGGTGTTGCTCCTGGGCTTGCTCTTGGCTGCAGTACCTCTGGCCTACGTGATCACCAGGTGATGGGGGTTGGCAGCTGGGAGGCTGGCCCAGCAACTCGTACCCGAGACCCTGACAACCCTGTCCGTTCCCATCTCTCCAGCACCCGCTCCTCCTGGGACTGCGGCCTCTTTGCCAACTATTCAGCCCCCTGGCAGGTGGTACCAGAGCTGGTGACCCTCCAGCTGCCACTTGCTGGCCAGCGTACCCTCCATTACCTCAGCTCTCACGCCTTCAGCTTCCCGCTGCTCATTCTGCTCAGGTGCCTCCAGCCAGCAGGGACTGTGGGAGAAACCCAGTTTCTTGGTTTTTGTCTTTTCCTTCCCGGGGGTGGTGTACACCTGAGCATCTCCAGACAGTGTCCTGGGGTGCGGGACCCAGGGAAAATGACCCAAAGAGAGGTGACCTGAGGGCATACTATAGGCCCTCTGGGCTCCTAGGATGCCACTGAGGACTGCATGGCCACTGAGGAAACCCAGCCGCTGCTGAGGCAGCCTTCCCATGCTGGAGCACTTGGAGTGAGGGGCTGTGAGAAGAAGGGGAGCTTTTAGATAAAACAGCGTGCACAGAACTTTGAGACTGAGACGGTAGATCTGGTGTGATGGTGCACACCTATAATCCCAGCACTCGGGAGGCTGAGGCAGGAGGATGGCTGTGAATGTGAGGCCACCCTGCTTACAGAGTGAGCTCCAGGGCAACCTGGTCTACATGGCAAGACCCTGTCTCAAAGATAAAGATTGAGGAAGCGGGGCGGAAGTCAGGCAGCGACCACGGTGGCCTGGGAGGTGACTGACCTGGAATCCTATCTGCCTTAAGCCTCGTCCTGACCGTGTGCGTCTCCCAGTCCCGGGCGAACGCCAGAGCCATCCAAGGGCTGCGGAAGCAGCTGGTGTGGGTGAGTGGGTCCACTTCGGCCCAGCCCTTTAGGAGTGTGTAGTAGACTGAAGAATCTGGCTGGGAGGGATGAGGGGTTCTTCTCCCGTGCCGTGCCGGGTGTACCCGGAGGTTAGGGAGGAACTCTCGCCTCCTGCCACTGGCAGCCTACTTTGGTAGGGGCGTGGCCTTGGGTTGAAGCAAAGCCTCAGGTGGTGGGCGTGGTCTGGGTCCGGGCTGGGATGCGTTAGGGGCGGGGCTGTGGTGCCGCCTGGTCCTAAATTAGGGGCCGGCTTTGAGGTGGCCTCCCGCTGCCGTGAGAACCCGCCCTGGCGGGGCCAAGGCCTCGGATTACGTTGTGGACGTGGCTTCCGGCTGCAGCTTGCTTCAAGCTAACATCTGGTCTCTTGTTTTCCCTGCAGCTGGTCCAGGAGAAGTGGCATCTGGTGGACGACCTGTCGCGGCTGCTGCTTGAGCTGAGCCCGGAGCCCGAGACCCCTCGCTCTCGAGCTTCGCGTCCGCGGTCCTTCTGCCCTGGATTCCCGTGCCCAGGCTCACCCGGCCCCAGGACACCCCTGAAAGGACCCTCCACCAGGCTGAGCTCCTCGAGCTCCGGTGCCTCGGTTCCCGTCTCCAAATTTCACTTCCCCAGCCGCACAGAGCTGTAGCACCGACCCGCCCCCTCCCCACACACCCACACCACCCCCACCCCCACCCCCCGGCTTTGCCGCAGCTTCCTCCGGTCCTCCCCTCCCGGCCCTTCCACCTCCTTACCCTGTGATCACTGGTCCCAGGAACCACTGCTTACAGCTGGCTCCAGGGCCTTATCCTCAGGTCAGCAGGAAGAACATGAGAATTTCTACCTCTATTTTATTTTATCTAATCCCTTCATAGGTTTTATTGAGTGTTCTGTAGTGTGCATAATGGTATGTATATTAATTCATGGATATATTATAAATATGCATTTTTTGGAAGCATTCACATTTCTTAGGAAGGGGTTGCTCTCAGGAATGTTTGTATGCCTCTCTCCATGATGCTGCAAGCCCTGGTCTGGAACAGCCCTCTGCAGACTGAGGGCTCTTCTCTGCCACCCCCTCCCACATCGCACCACCTGCTTAACCCTCCACCCACCTGAGCACAGAGGTGAAGCCACGCTCAGCAAGTGGCGGGGCCGGGGCTTGAACCAGATAGAGGGACTCCAAGACACACTAAACCAGGGTAGGCCCTGAGGTCACTCCTGATCCTGAGAGTGGCTTGCTTAAGTTCAGTGACATCTGGGTCCCTTGGGGAAAGCATCCATGCAGGGTCCATGGCCACACCTCTGCAGAACACTGTTCTCTCAGCCTGCCTGCGAGCTGACAGTGAGTCTGAGGGGTGACAGTGCACACCCTGCCAGACTCTCAGCGGCAGGTGCAGGCCTGCACTTGGAGACCTTGGGGAGTGCTGTGGGAGGCAACCCTGGAAGGTGGCATGCTCATGGGGGATGCAGAGGCAGGGCAGGGTGCAGCCTGGAGCTCTGCCTGGGTTTCCTCTTCTCACCCCATCTCTTGCTGCAATGGCTTTGAACCCACAGCTTGGAAGGAAATCTCTATAAAGTTCAGATGCTAACAGATCCTACTGGCTTTGAGGTGACTGGTCCGGATGTAGCCATAGCCAGGCATGGGGGTCAGTGTCTGGTTTTTTGTTTTTGTTTTTTTTTTTGAGACAGGGTTTTTCTGTTGTGGCCCTCGCTGTCCTGGAACTCTCTCTGTAGACCAGGCTGCCCTGGAACTGGCAGAGATCTAGAGATCCGCCTGCCTCTGCCTCCCAAGTGCTGGAATCAAAGGCGCATGCCACCATTCATGGCTGTGTGTGTGTGTGTGTGTGTGTGTGTGTGTGTGTGTTTTGTTTTGTTGTTGTTTTTCTTTTTTTGTTTTAATCTGTCTGTTCATCTTGAGACCAGGTCTCTGTTTTAGATAGTCCTGGCTATCCTGGAACTCACTATGCAGACCAGGCTACCTCGAACTCAGAGATCCTCCTGCCTCTGCCTCCTCTGCTGGCATTAAAGGAGTGCACCAGACTCTGTGGGGACATTTTAAAGTACCCAGGTACAGGCAGCTAGAGTGCAGGACTATTAGCAGAGAGAGACAGAGGGAGCCCCAGAGGGTGCCTTTTATTCTCTTGAAACAGGAAATGTAGCCAAGGTGGTCTGATCCTCCTGCCTCCAAGCGCTAGGGTGACAGGCATGGGCCATCCACCCAGCTGAGAAGCCTGCAGCTCCTGCCTGGACTTCTGCCCTGGAGACTGGAGTCTTCTCAGGTGACCACTGAAGACTTGGCCCGTTCAGACCGTCCTGTGACTGACCTTGCCTTGCTGGCCTGGCCCTCACAGGGCCTCCTGCTCCCATCTGTAACCGAACACCAGGGTCTAGGTGGTATGTACAGGCCCACACTTTGAGACACGTGGGAAATGTACTGTAGGTGGTGGAAAGTGATGTCCCCATTCCCTGGCCCACAAAGACAGGGCGGGAGAGAGGTGCAGGGTCCTGTGTCTGGGGCATCAAGACCTGGAGGGGCACAGGCAGGCTCTGGTGATCAATGGGAGGGAGGTCACAAACTGTCCAGGTGAAGATAACACGTTAATTAACAGCTCTGTAGCCCAGGCTGGCCTCGAACTCACAGGCTATCCTTCTGCCTCTGCCTCCCGAGTGCTGGGATTAAAGGCGTGCGCCACCACCGTGCAGCAATTAACAGCTTTTTGAGCAGCAGCCGCAGCAAACTCCGCTGGAAACAGATTCTTGTCCCGCCCTCTAAATCATGAGCTGTAAGGCTCAGCAGTAGCGGAGTCTTTTTGGCTTACTTGTTCATTTGTGGTTCTTTGTTTATTTGTTTTTCTTTCTCTCTTTCTTTTCTTTTCTATTTTTCTTTTCCCCCAGACAGGGTTTCTCTGTGTAACTCTGACTGTCCTGGAAATCACTCTGTAGCCCAGGCTGGCCTTGAACTTAAAGATCCACCTGCCTCTGCCTCCCCAGTGCTGGGATTAAAGGTATGTAGCACACCGCTTGGCTATTTGTTGTTTTTTCAGTGTTCATGGCTCACACCTATAACACTTGGGAAGCTGAGGCAGGAGGATTATGAGGTTGAGATCAGCCTAGACTATACAGCAAGACCCTGTCTTAAAGACAAAACTAGTCCAGCATGGTAGCACATGCCTGTAATCCCAGCATTCAAGAGGCAGAGGCAGAAGGATAGCCTTAAATTTGAGACTAGCCTGGTCTACATAGTGAGTTACAGGCCAGCCAGAACACAGAGTAGAACTTGTGTCAAATATTTAAAAAAAAAAAAAAAAATGCCCAGGCATGGTGGCATACACCTTTAATCCCAGCACTCTGGAGGCAGATAGGTGAGTCTTTGTAGGTTCAAGTTCAGCCTGGTCTACTTAGTGAGTTCCTGGACAACTTACAAAGTAAGACCCTGCCTCAAACAACAAATAAACAATAGAAACCACCTAAAAAACATTACCATAAAACTACACAAAACATTGTGAAGTCATGCTCCAGAAGACAGAAGTGGGAGGGGTGGGAGGGACTTGAGACCTGCTGCCAATCAGGAGACAAGCCAGGGGCCCTCTGGAGATGGCACCTCCAAGGGAGGGCTTGTTGGAGCCCTCCCAGGTACAGCTCTGGGGGAAAGGCAGGATGTGAGCAGGATTTGGCAGGTGTCGGGTGTTGAGAAAGGCATTGGTGTGCTGTGCTGTCCAGGCTTGCTCAGTTGAGACCCTGAGAAGGTGGTCAGGGTGCAGGAGGCCTGGGCAGCACCTCTGTGGTGTGTGTCAGGACTTAGATGATGGGTACCAGGGGCGCCATGAAATGTGCCTGCACTGCCAGTCCAGGACCACAGTAGTGAGACCCTGTCTCAAAAGTAAATAGATAGAGGCTGGCCACTTGCTGCTCTTGCAGAGACCTGGGTTCAATTCCCAGCATTTACATGTTGGTTCACAACCATCTGTAACTCCAGTACCAGGGGATCTGACACCTTCTTCTGACTGCCACAGGCTCCTGGATACATGTGGTGGCCATACAAGCACTCAGGCACACATGCATACTCACAAAATATAAGTATTTTAAATTTTTAAAAAATCTAATTTTTAGAGAAAAGGATTTTGTTGGAAACTAAGTCTTCTCCCTCTCCCCCAGCTCCCACCGGAGAATCTTACAGAGGTGTGTGTGGGGTGCCGATGTTAGCTCTGGGGGAGATGCCAGGCTGTGGGTGCTCAGTGGCAGAGCTGACTCAAGGTGGTTGGCAGGAAGGGCCTCACTGTGAGGAGCAGAGCTGGTGTTCAGGTGACCTGACCCCTTTGCTGGCTCTTCCCATGGCTTCCCCTCTGCTCTCTGGCTGTGAGACCACTGCTCAGACAGCGTCCTGAGGACCAGGCCTCCACAGATGCCCCAGGAGGAGCAGGAGGGCACTGGGCTGGAGTGGCCTTCCCAGATCCAGCGTGCCTTTCCGGAGGGCAGGGCCAGGCCTGAGTGCAGCTGCCAGCCAGGCTCTGTGGAGCATCCGCACTTGACACAGGATGTGACCTGGCAGTGGACGACCTTGACCGTGAAGAAACTACCCAAGTGGGTGTTTGCTGAGGAGCCACTGATCATGCTCAGAAAGCCAGTTAGTTGGCAGGCCCAGGACTGGGGTGAGGAGCCCAGCCACGCGGTGGGCAGATATGAGCGGCCTCCCATGGGATAGCATGTTCTAGTGCCCAAATCACCTACTTCCTTGGTGCTCTGTGTCCCTCAGACCCTAGGGGTCAGGCCCTGGTGTGGCCTTAGGGTTGGTAACATGGCTTGCTCTCCTCTGTCCAGGTTAGACTGAGTCCAAGTCCTTAAGGGATGACCTTACCCTTCTCTGGACTCCTTTAAGGACAGGCTTAGGCACACAGCTCCACGCTCTCAGGTGAGGGAAAGCCTCATCCAGCCTGAGGTCTAACCTGGAGACAGAACACAGCCGCTCTAGCAGATGCCTGTCCGTGGGGGACACGGACCAAAGTGCCTCCCCTCCCTGCCTCCTAGCAGGTAACCACTCCAGGACTCCTTCATAAAGAAGGCCCCTTGTTGGTGGGGCTGGAGACATGGCTCAGCAGTTGGGAGCACTGGCTGCTCTTACAGAGGACCCAGGTTTGATTCCCAGAACCCACATGGCAGCTCACAACCATCTGTAACTCCAATTCCAGGGGATCCAACACCCTCACACAGACATACATGCAGACAAAACACCAATATACATAGAATAAAAATAAATCATTACAAAATTTTTAAGTTTCTTGATAAAGAAAGGCCTGGGCTGGAGAGATGGCTCAGAGGTTAAGAGCACTGACTGTTCTTCCTGAGGTTCTGAGTTCAATTCCCAGCAGCCACATGGTGACTCACAACCATCTGTAGTGAGATGAGACTGGTGCCTTCTTCTGGCCTGCAGGCAAAACATGCTGTATACAAAATAAATAAACAAACAAACAAACAAACAAATAAATCTTTTAAAAAAAGAAAGAAAGGCCCTTGTGTTAACACCATCCTGAGCTCGGCAGGCCCAGCCTCACTCCCTCCCCTACAGGGAAGAGGGAGAACACAGACATCCCTGGAGCCAGCCCCGCAGGGCATTAGGGGGCCCCCTGGATAGCCACAACGTTCAATTTATCTCCTAGCTGCAGGCCAACACCCAAGGAGCATCCAGGGGCCTTAGGGTGGAGAGGGCAGATGAGGAAGCTTTTGACAGCCTGAGACAGAGGCCCCACACAGCCCTGCTCCACCAGAAGCATGAGGTTCCTTCGGCTGCTCTTCTTGGCCATGCTGGGTGAGTCTCCTGCAGACACCATGGGAATGGCCTTGAGGAAGCAGGCTCAGGGAATGGAGTGTTAGAGAGTTCTGAGAGAGAGAGAGACCCGAAGGCAGAAGAACCAGAGGGAGAGAGGGAGAATGTGAGGGGGTCTGATCAGGGTGCTGACACCAGCCCCATAAACTACACAAGCATGTATGATGGGATTAGGGCATCGCCTCGATTCCACCGGGGTGTGTGTGTGTGTGTGTGTGTGTGTGTGTGTGTGTGTGTGTGTGCACATATGTGTGCACACGTGCAGTTGCCAGTGTGGATGCATATGGAAGCCAGACATTAAGGCACTAAGGTTAGGTGTCTTCTTCAATCACCTCCTCACCTTATTTTTTGAGGCAAAGGCTCTCACTGGCCTGAAGCTTGCAGTGTCAGCTAGACTGGCTAGCTAGCCCAGAAATCCACCTTTCCCTGCCCCCCAACACTGCGGTTAAAACATGCACCACACCCTTTTTTGGTGTGCTGAACTGGGGACCCAAACTATGGTCTGGATGCTTGCACAGGAAGCATGTTGCTCTCTGAGCCATCTCTCCAGCCCTGGGTACTCTTGAGGAGAGAGGGATAAGAGATTTAGATAGAAGGATAGAGGGCAGAGAAAAGGACAGAAACACAGGATAGCTTTGGGATTGCCTAGATCCTTATCCACCAGCCCAGAACTTTATTCAAAAAGCTTTTTATAACAATGCCAAGGGGTGAGGCAAAAGACCTCCCCCTTGCTAGATACAGCCAAGTGTAGACCCTTCCAAATACCTTGTACCCAGGCCTGTGGTCTTATGCAGCCCTGATGGTAAAGCAAGCTCAGATCTCACTAGGAAAACTCTGTGGGCTTCCACACTGGTCCCCATTAACTTGCCTGCAATGGGGATTTCAAATGTGAGAGTGTGCAAAAGAGCTTTCACCAGGCTGATGGTGCATGCTGGTAACCCCAGCACTCAGGGAGTGGAGACAGGAAGATCAAGAGTTCCAGGCCACCCTCAGGAACATAGTGAGTTCAAGGCCAGCCTGGAATACAGGAGAGACCCTGATGAAGGAAGATAAAATAAATAGCTGTCATGATCAGAGATGCTAACTGGCTCTGGAGACCTCGCTGTCAGGAATCAGCCTGGGCAGGAAGCTGTCTAGGCTGTCCCTCTCCTCTCCCAGCTCCCTGTACTTCTCCTCTTTTACAGCTGCCCGCAGCCTCTCGGGGAAGCAGACAGAAGGTGAGTAGCCCCCACACTGAAGGGAGAAGGATTTAGTTGGGGACACTTCAGGCAGAGCTGCATGCTGTGGCAGGTGCCTTGGCTGGAAAGAGGTTCCTGATGGTGAGGAGGGGGTTGGGAGGACCCAGATGGGTAATTCTGGCCTCCAGCCCTGCAGGGCTGGGTGAGGCCATTGTGAGGCCTCGAGGGCACATGGAGAGAGGAGGAGTTTGGATGTGTGAAGAGGAGAGGTCCCCAGCAGTTCCAGTCACAGGACCCCAGGTCCTCATAGGCAGCAGGATTCCCCCTGCCCCAAGCCCCACAGCTCTGCTTGATGGGCGGGATCCAGAGAAGGCCAGGAAATTCTAGTGTGCACTTTCCCTGGGGGAGGAACCCTCAGGAGAGGAGGAGGGTGGTGAGGGAGCTGGGGGATTCAGCCATTAAGCTTCTTTGCTCTGGAAGCAGCTGAGAGTGAGTGTTATCTATCTATCTATCTATCTATCTATCTATCTATCTATCTATCTATCTATCTATCTCTATATATATATATATACAATATTTATATATAAACAGCATACATATATATGTGATGTGTGATATATACATACGTGTGTATATATGATGTGTGTAATATATACTTATATGTGTACTATATACATATGTGTGTAATATATATGTGTGTAATATATATACATATATGTGTGTGTAATACATATATGTGTGTGTGTCTTTTGTCTCCCGTTCCTTTCTTCCCTCTTTTTGTCCCCCCTCCTCTTTCTCCTTCCGTTCCCCCCTCCTCTCTCCTCCCCTTTTCCTCCCCAGTAGTCCAGGTACAGAGCCAGGAAGGAAGGGAGTCAGGGAAAGCTCACAGCCTCCGACCTTCTCCATATTTCTCTTTGCCTCCTCCCCTCCGCTCTCCGGCATGGACCCTCCCCTCGCACTCAGACTCATCTCTGTGCCCCTCAGGGTGGAGGCAGGCAGTCCCCTCGGTGTCTAGTCCTTCGCCTTGCGTCTCTGGGCATCCCCTTCTGTTCTGCTTAAGAAAGGGTGCAGGGTGGTGTTGACGGAGGTCTCAGTCGGATGAGGCACAGACCAAACTACCATTTCCTCATTTCTGTAAAAAAGAAAAAGGTTATTAGTGTCATAGCTAAAAAAAGAGCTAGTGGCTGAGTCTCAGGAAAGTACCTGGGCAGAAGCAGTCCTGCCTTCCTGTCCCCTCAGCCCATGGCCTCTGCTCAGCTCTGCTGAGGGAGCCTGCTCAGGAGGCTTCTGAAGGCTGACTGATCCCTTGTTCCTTCACAAATCTTCTCAGAGGATGCTTGGTTGCTGGCACTGTTGCAGGCCATGAGGATAAAACCAGGTACAGAAAGAAAAGCCACCCTTCGCAGAGGGACAGAGAGAACGGGAGTGCTCCAGGCCGTTAGAATCGCGAGCATCAGTGGGTGTTGTGGCGCACACCTATAGTCCCCACACCCGGGAGTTAGAGGCAGGAGGATCACAGGTGCAAGGTTATCCTCAGCAAGGTGGAAGCAAGCCTGGGCTACAGTGAGACCCTATCTTTAAAAAAAAAGGGGGGGGGACAGATGCCAGTCCTGGTTGCAACCTTTAATCCCAGCACTTGGGAGGAGGATGAGGAGGATCTCTGTGAGTTCCAAGCCAGCCTGGGCTACGTGCTGAGTTCCAGAACAGCCAGTGAGACCCTGTCTCAAAAACTAAAAGCGGAGGAAAACAACACCCGGGCAGCTGTCCCCACGGTGGGGTGGCGGCTCAGTGTGGAGCAGGATCTCTTCTGTTTCCACCTCAGGCAGCAAACTGTGCCTCCTTAGCGCTTCCAAGACCCACACTATGCAAACCCAGCTTCTATTCCGGGCCACCGGATTGAGAGGGAAATGAGAGGTACCGTTTGTCTTTTTACTTTTATCCGTCAAGCTCGCTGCCCTTCATGAAGGAAGGAGAGAAACAAACAAACCTGTAACCACAGTTTGGCTCTAGACTCATGTGCCTGCCCAGTGAGGCGAGTCCAGCCCCAAGCACCTTCCTTGGACCCTGAGAAGGCCTGCTGCCCCGAAGATCAAGTTCACAGAAGTCCTGTTCAAAGTCTGCCAAACAGAGCCCAGAGAAGCTCGGACTTTAGCATTAGGTCCAGTATCTCAAACTGGAAATGGATTTTAATTAAAAAACAAACAAACAACAACTCCCCCCACAAAGAGGGGCACTTAAAGTGTTTTAACAGCCACAGAAGAAACACGCTCTGTTGGTGTTGGGCCAGGTGGCTCCAGAACATGTTCTCTCTCCAATCACTGAGCTACATACCTAGCCTAGCTTCAAGATTTATTTAATTAAAGATCCTGCTTTTGTCTCAGCCAGCCACTCCCTGCCGTGGCGTGTGGAGTGGGTCCCCAGCCTCAGCACTCGGCTGCAGTGCCAGGAGACACAAGTTCCCCTGAGGCAGGAATTAGGATCTGAAAGAATGTGTACACTGGTCAGAAGCTGGGAAGTCCCGGGAGATGTTGTGACAGCCAGGAGCCTCCTCCATGGGAGTTTTCCTTTCTTTTTTTGATTTTTCCAGACAGGGTTTCTCTGTGCAGCCCTGGCTGTCCTGGAACTCACTCTGTAGACAAGGATGGCTCAAACTCAGAGAGCCACCTGCCTCTGCCTCCCGAGTGCTGGGGTTAAAGGCGTGTGTCACCATGCCCAGCCCACAGGAAGTTTTCTGATCATGGTACTGTACAGTTTTCAGGCCCAGTAGAGCAAGGGCTATATATACAGTTCGAGTCTGGGATGTTAATTATTTCCTCCTCCTGGGGCGGGGGGCGGGGGGTTGTCCGAATCCCATCTTCATTTTCCCTCAGAGTATTCTTAAGTAGGAGCAGCAGGAAATATAAGATAGAAATAAAGAGGGAGAGAAACAGGGCTGGAGAGATGGCTCAGCGGTTAAGAGCACTGACTGCTCTTCCAGAGGTCCTGAGTTCAATTCCCAGCAACCACATGGTGGCTCACAACCATCTGTGATGAGATCTGGTGCCCTCTTCTGGCATGCAGGCATACATGCTGTATACATAACAAATAAATAAATCTAAAAAAAAAAAGGGGGAGTGAAACAGAAAATACAGGATAGCCTCAGAAGGGCCTGGATCCCAATCCATCAGGCCCTGACTGTCTCTGCCAAAGGGTTTTTAAAGGAATGCCAAGGGGTGGAGCAAAAGTCCTCCCCCAGCACAGTCAAGTGCAGACCATCTCAGACACCTGGTACTCAGGCTGTGGTCCAATCGTCCTCTTTATGCAGACCTGCTGGGTAAAGCCACCAGGAAACCCAAATGGACTCCAACAGTCCTCCTCCTCCTCCTTCTGACAAGGTTTCACTGTGTAGTTTTGCCTTTTCTGGAACTATGTACACAAGGCTAGCCTTAAACTCACAGAGATCTGCCTGACCCTGCCTCTTAAAGGCTGACACCATACCTGCTCTGTGTGTGTGTGTGTGTGTGTGTGTGTGTGTGTGTGTGTCTGTCTGTCTGTCTGTCTGTCTGTCTGTCTGTGCACCACATACATGCAGTACCCACAGAAGCCAGGAGAGGGTTTAGATTCCCTCTGGGAGTGGAGTTACAAGCAGTTGTGAGCCACTGGGCGACTCGGAGCGGCAAGCATTCTTAACCACTGAGCCATCTCTCCAGCCCCAAAAGGTGTGCTACACAGCAGTTTTGTTCCTGTCTGGATTCTCAGGCATGGAGTCATGTTATATTGGTGCTATGACGTCAAGAAATATGTGCCTCTTTTCTTCCTTTCAACTTCATCAGAAATCAAGGGCCTTGCAAATACCCGACTTAGGCTCTGCCATGGCATGATACCTCTAAACCCTCATTGGTCCTCAAGATCAACTCATATTCCTTGCACAGTTCATGTTCAACTGTTAGGATCTGAAGCTGTTTCCACCTCTTGGTACCCATAACCGGAGCTGCCCTGACATGTGTATGACAGATCTGTCCGAGTCTGTCTTTGATTCTGTTAGGATGTGTCTTGGAGTATCATACCTGAGTCATCACTAATTCTTGTAACTCCCCCCCACACCTTTTTTTATGGCGCTGGAGACTGAACTCAGGATCTTATGACTGCTGGCCTTATATTCTATCACTGAGATGAACTCTCAGCCTCTAGCTTTACACTTCTTTCAAGAATGTATTTGCTTATGTGTATATGTATCTGCATGAGTTTCTGTGAACCATCTTTGTGCAGGTGTCCTCCGTCGTCTGTCCGTCCCCCCCCCCCCCCCCCCCCCCCGTTCGTGTCCCCCCTGCCCCCGCCAGAAGTTACAGGTGGCTTCGGGTTGACAGATATAAGCTGGGAACCAAAACCCAAATCTTCTGGAAGTGCTCTTGGCCCCTGAGCCCTCTGTCCAGCTCTGATTATTTTAAGTTTTTGAAGAATTACCAAACCAGAGTTGTAAACTGCTTGACCCCTCTTGATTTCTTTCTCTCCCTGACTGGTTCACCTCCCAGACATCACCATTGCCTACAAAGTGCTGGAAGTGTACCCTCAAAGCCGCCAAGTGCTTATAACCTGCGACATCCCGGAGGCCCCCCGGCCCATCACTTACTCCCTCATAGCTAGCCAAGGTCTCCTGGTGACAAAGAAGGTAGTGCACGACTACAAGCCAGTCTCCTTCAAAATCAACATCACACTCAAGTCCAGCCCAGACCTGCTCACCTACTCCTGCCAAGCAGCCTCTCACTCGGGCGCCTATGGGCCCAGCACCAGGCTGCAGATGTACTGGGAGCTGTGGGCCAGTGAGTACAGGGGGAAGGGGGGGAGGCTGGCGGGATGTGGATCAATGGAGGGGTGGGGAGAGAGGAGGAGGGCAGCAGAGTGGAGACAGGGGGCAGACTGCCTGCCTCCAAGGCTGCGCCCCGTCCATGGTGGCCAGAGGACACAGTCTCCCAGCAGGGACCAGAAGGTTCAGCGCGCTCTGACTTGGGGCCGGAAATCAAGGCATGGCTGTTAATGATCTCATGCACACTCACGGGGAGGCAGTCAGGTTCCCCGCTGCCACTGTGGAAGTCAAAGTTCTCTGAGGTTGAGGGCGTTGCTTAGACAACCTGTAAGTGACCACATCTGCTTTCATCTCCCCCGCCACCCACTCCAGACCCTTCTTTCTTCCCTCTCCACCCGTCACTCCCTGTTAATAGGAACAAGGAAGTACTGCTTGCCTCTATGAGTCCAGCATCCTTACCCCCTAAAAACACCAAGACAAAGCCTAAAAGGGGGTGCACAGGGTCTGAAGCCCAGCATGTGGAAGGCTGGGATCTCCCTGTGAGCTGGCTGTGGGATCTTGAACAAGTCAATGTCTGGGTCTCAGTTGCTTTGCCTGGGAAGTAAGATGATATAACAGGGCACCCCAGGAGGCTTGGAAGGGCACAGGGGAGGTTGCCTTCTGCCCTGATGAGGCTGAGACCAGGCATGGGACAGCTAGCTACTGGTCAGTAGGGATGCTCAGTGCATCTGGAAAGACTCCAGCACCTCCATTCTTCTAAGTGGTGGCTCTTGTCCTGAAGGAGCTTGCCTAGCACCACGAGTCAAGACTGTCACCCTGCTCCTCAGCACTTACCTTTAATCTCTAGGCTTGGGTGTGTCAGGCTGCTTAGCACTAATCACTGAGCTACATCCCTACCTTAGCTTAAAGATTTATTTTTATTTTATGTGTATGAGTGTTTTGTTTCTGTCTGTGTTCTACATATGCGTAGTAGAGCCCAGATGAGGATGTCAGAGCCCCTGGAACTGGAGTTACAGATGGTTGTGAGCCACCACATGGGAGCTGGGAACCAAACTGGGGTCCTTTGAGAGCAGCAAGTACTTTTTTTTTTCTGAGACAGGGTTTCTCTGTGTAGTTTTGTTGACTGTCCTGGATCTCTGTAGACCAGGCTGGCCTCAAACTCAGAGATTCGCCTGGCTCTGTCTCCTGAGTGCTGGGATTAAAGGTATGAGCCACCATTACCCGGCCCACATCAAGTACTTTTTTTCTTTTCTTTTTTTTGAGACAGGGTTTCTCTGTGTATCCCTGGCTGTCCTGGAACCTGCTCTGCAGACCAGCCTGCAATAAGCACTCTTTTCTCTCTCTCTCTCTCTCTTTTTTTTTTT